CAGGAGCCCTGGGGCTTCGTTTACAAGCAACAGGCGTGCAAACTCCAGGTCGAGGGTGTGCTTAGCACACTCCGGTGTGGCGAATATTCCACAAAGACGTTAAGGGAGACTGCCAGCTACTTCCTGGACGCGCACATTCCAGATGACCGGGAGATAGAGGACACGCCTGAGCAGCGTGAAACTAGAGTCACGTGTAGGAACGCTCCGAACACAGCCGACGCTCCTCCCGTCACGGTGGAGGAAGTGGCAAACGTGGTTAAATCGTTTAGAAATAAGAAAGCTCCGGGTCCGGATTTAATAGAGGTTGCCGTTCTCAAGGCAGCCTGTAGTGTAATCCCCGTCAGATAGCTAGGCTTTTCAATGGGTGCCTCCAGTGGGGCGTCTTTCCTTCTGTCTGGAAGGAGGGCTCGCTTCGAGTCCTTCTGAAAGGCGAAGACAAGGATGAGAGGGACCCAAAATCATACAGACCCATTTGTCTCCTCTCCGTGGTAGGAAAACTCTTTGAGAAGATTCTCAAATCCCGGCTGATGGGCACATCACTGGCGCCGGATAAGGTCTCCCGTCGACAGTTCGGGTTTATGCCCGGAAGGTCGACGGAGGATGCTGTTGTCGAGTTGCGGCGAATGGTCTCTGTCTCCGAAGGGAGATATGCCGTCGCACTTCTCTTCGACATTTCCGGAGCTTTTGATAATGTCTGGTGGCCGCTCGTGTTAGATAGTTTAAAGAAACGCGATTGTCCGCGAAACGTATTTCAAGTGCTCCGGAGCTACTTCGATGACCGCAAAGTCAAAATCGCGCTTAGTTCCGCGGAGGTGTCCAAGCGAGCAGCGAAGGGTGCCCGCAGGGTTCCGTTCTCGGTCCGGCTTGCTGGAACCTCATGTTTGATGGCCTTTTAAAGATACTAGAGGAAACGGTTCCTGACAGATTTGCCGCGTACGCGGACGACCTCGTGGTTGTCATAAATGGAAATTCGCGTCGAGAACTAGAGACAGAAGGCCAGCGTGTAGTAAATGTAATAACAGAATGGTGTAGGTTCGCGAAGCTTCAGATTTCCGAGCGTAAAACTGAAGCCATCATTCTGAAGTCAGACGCGATCGCGCGAAACCCGATAGGTAGACGGGGAGGAGCTCGACCGGATAGGAAGCGAAAAAGTACGAAGAAAACCGTCGACTTCGGTGATAGGCCGCCAATTATTAAGATCGGTGACGCGAAGATACGATTTAAGGAAACGGTTAGATATCTTGGCGTTTACATAGATAGGAATCTGAAAGTTAAGTCTCATTGCGCGTATCTTAACAGCAAAGTCGGGTTGCTGTTCGCTAAATTAAATAGGATAGCTCGTGCCGATTGGGGCCTCCGTTTCAAAACGTTGTACACAATATATCGAGGTGTGTTCGCGCCAACAGTAGCCTACGCCGCCGCGGGATGGGCTGATCTGTGCACGGGAAAAGATATTAGGGTATTAAAATCGCTACAACGTCGCGTACTTATTTCGCTGACCGGCGCATATCGAACAGCCTCGTGGGAATCCCTCTGCGTCGTCGGGGGAGTGATCCCAGTCGATATAATTCTTCGCGAAAACGTCGCGCGTTACCAAGTTAGGTCGCAAAAGGACGCCAAGATCGGTAATGTGGAGATACCCGCCGAAACGGATAGGAAGACTGCGATAGAAACGATTAGGGACGAAGCGATTAACATGTGGCAGACCAAATGGGTATCTTCGAGTAAAGGTCGTACCACATTCGCGTATTTCGATAGCGTGCGGGATAGACTCAACGCGCGTTCGATAGAACCGAATCATTGGAGCACGCAAGCTCTCACGGGACACGGCGACTTTAGATCCCGACTAGCCGCGTTAAATCTCGTCGATAGCGAAGCGTGTATTTGCGGAAACAGAACGGATTCGGTTCAGCACTTCTTGCTGCAATGTCCGATGTTCGATGCACAGAGAGA